TACATATACATATATATTAGAATACAATATAATATATACCTTCACCAGCAGCATCCAGACTCCTGGCCGCAGCCTTCTCCTCGTCATCGCTCTCAACCTTTTTGGGTTTGCGTGTCTTTACCACCTCGGCCTTCTTTAAGAAAAAGGCAGCTCCGTATCTGGCTTCACCGGGACGGGCATCCTCGACTTCCTATTGGTCGATAGTTAAATAGAATTTAGTGGGAGAGTATGTTTTGAGAAGGTTGGATTCGGCCGAGCGAGAATTGAATAACAAAATTATGATATGATAATAACATAACAGTACACAACCTAACCCTACCAACGTAAAATTACACACCGCAAATGAACACACATACAACAAAAAGTAGGTCCCTGAGCTAAAGACGCATCATAACACGCCAGTAAACAAACTATCCCCCCGTGGAAAACACACACCCCCACTAGTCCATATAAAGTTGTTCACCGAGGGAGGCTCAAGTCCACAGTAGGCCATACCGATAGATCGGAGTCATCGGAGCTGGAATCCGAGCCGAAATCGGAACTCAGGAAATCATCGTCACTTCCCAGAGCCTTGACGGGTGCCCCCTTTTTCACGGTTTTATCCTCACTGCTGCTGCTGCTACTGGAGCTGCCGCTGCTAGAGCTGTGTATGTGTGTGAGAGAGTATGAGTAGTGTTAAGATGGTGCATTTTTTTAGGATGTGTATGCGAGAGTACAAATGTTGATGAGACAATGTATTTCAACATATGTATGTATGTAGAAACAGGTATTACCACAGCATTTCGACATTTGAATTTGTATGCGAGTGTAGATATTATCCAAAAGACAACTGTTTCGATGCCTATGTACTTAAAAACATGTAGGTATTGGTCACAGTGCTACAGATAGCATCGCACTTCTTTTATCTCCTCACCAACCCACTAGCTGCTACTAAAATCATGGCTGTTAGAGCTATGTAATACGTGTGTATGTGAGAGTACAAATATTCTTAACACGCTATATCGGAATACGTATGTACCACCCCACAAACAATAGTGACACACTTCCTTCTTGCTCTTCCCCACATACCCACTAGAGCTACCAGATCCGGCAGCCGATTCTTCTGAGGAAGCCTCAGATGCAGTCGAGGGTATGGGCTCCTCTCGGAACTTAGCCACGTCCGCCTCCCACTCCTTGTTGTACTTGATAACATTCTGGCGTAGAGCGTTGAATGCTTTGGCGTTCATCTTGTTCATCTTCTTGATCTTTTCCTGTGTGTTTTGATTTAATATAATGCGTTTAGCTTCACGCTACTTTCGTGATACCTCCCTTGTTATAAGGTTGGGATCATGTGTTCGTCCACGCTTGCAGTGACCGTGTTATCGGCTTGCGGATATATACACAAGACACATGTATGTCTATATAGGAGAACCGTGAATAAGCTTCGATAGGAATGAAAAACTCCCGCAATATATTCCTAACTCTCGCCCGTTCTGAGATATACGAGCATGCGGGACTATGCTGAAGTGTAGGCATGTATGCTATCCATGTGTGTTCTTTGAGACGTCATATTGGATATACGTCTTTCTAAATCTGTCCCCAACACCCCTCTTCTTTTTTTAATTTCCAACCAGTTAATTGATGCCCCCATGTTATATTACTGTGAAAACGACCCATCTTCGGATGGACTACATGGTATAAATGACAAGAAACCGCAGTACATAGGCATGACAACTATCACATCAACATATCTCTCTCGAACTCCTACTCGTTAGAACTCGTTGGATTTTAATGAACACGTACACTAACTTATGCTCCAGTTTCCCGTACATATAATATATCAATATACATATATACCAGAATTTAGACAGACAAATAAAGACAAGAGACTCAGCAAGGCACATAGTTCTTACTTTATCTCCACGCAGTTTGGTGATCTCATCTTCCAGGTTTACGAGTGTTCGCACAAGGAAGATGGGCAGACCACCAGCCTCAGCGATGATACCCTTCGCCTTAACGACCTCTGTGGACGATTATAGTGCGCGACAAAAATGTTTTAGTAGATATAATATAAATTACAAGTATATATAATTATAAATATACATATATTATATATATATATATATATATATATACAACTCTATATCTGTATTTATGACTATATACCGACATATGCACAGACATCTATCTACCCACAGCCGGCGTGCATCACACCCAGTACAGACACACATACGTTTCTTGATATCCTGGAAGTTCTTGTCAATAGTCGCCCAGTCGTCGATCTTCAGCAGATTCTTGATGCTGTGGCACAGTTGCCTGAGACCGTCATATCGACTGTCCTTCTTAGACTTGACCACACGACCGCCCTCGTCAGACTCAGACGAGGATACGAGAGTAGCACGCCTGTAGTGTGGGAGGAAAGGGGATGGGTTTCAGGGTGATTCAGAGAGGATAGCCGTACGTGTAGTGGGAGCTGGAGTTCGTGTGCATGGATGAGTGCGTTATGCTTTGTTGTTTTGAGATGTGCTATCAATACGGTATGAATATCGGGATGCAATTTGACTGTCGTTTCCGTTCCGTCCGTTTGCATATATGCAAGGACGCTCGATTGCAACCACTAGGTGTGGCAAAGTAGTAGATGATTGAAATGCAGACATAGGCAGTGGCATGGGATAGTGTTCCAGGCTAATCACTATAGAGGCCGCCTGTTGACGTAATAGACACATGGCTCTTCTCAGTACACCCCTGTGCACATACGCACGATTCTACCACACAGCTGTTAATGCTCGATGAAGAATCCTGAGCGAAACGTTGCTATATGTATAGCAACTCGCTGGTTATTTGTGTAGTGAATGGTTACTTGTATCATCATGTATGGCAAAAAGCTGCCTAGTATTGATGGTACACTATTGTACGTGCACACAGTCACCGCACATCGTAGTCCAATTGATCTGTCTAACTCACAGTGTGCTATAGTATATCACAGACATGTGACACTGACAAGGCATACGGCAAGTGGATCTGAGCTACACCCAGAACAATATATTGTGTCCGTAAATATACTAACAATATCCTCTGCTACTCATGTCACGGACAGATGATATAGCAAGTGAGCAAGAGTTACCCCAGACGATGCCCTGTATTCTTATATACGCTTGAAATACCCTCTACTAGGCATGTCACTCATAGCTTAACTAGCACGTGAACGGAACCTATATTCCGAACAAAATATTTCTAATAGGTACATATATATTGATACACCGTCGCTGTCAAACACGTATAATCATACATGTGCAAGTTTCGATATAACACGACCGACATCATCACACGTACAGATACGTAACAGGTAAAGTAACGTACACTTATACTACCGCTTACTCCAAAGCTAGACAGCATATCTTGCATATACAACCACAAGTCTCTGCCGAAGAAAAAGAAAGATATATGTGTATATAGCCAATACACTAATCCTATCTCGATCCGGGAAATTGAATTAGCTGCTTGTGAGTCTACTATGACAACTCAACACACCCAGAAATGCATGTGATATTCTCGTTCGTTTACTGGTCACACTTGCACGGTAATACTACTAGACTATGAAATTACATGGCATATTTATATATATATATATAAATAATACACGACCACCCTTATGAGCAGTAGCATATCAAATGAACTCCGTGACACACACACACACATATGTATATATATATATAGCCTCGTTATATACA